CGAGTCATAGGAAGTTGGCAGTGATGTCATGCTGGACAAGAATCAGAGTCCAAATAACATTTTTTCATATTCGGACTCAAGTCTGAATTGTCACTTCGTTTTTACATCGCCAGCATGTATTAATAAGGTGCTTTTTCGGTAGTTCCCACCCCCCTTATTTGATGTAGATCTATACGTTTGGTTCGCGGCGAGCTGAGATATCAAACCTAGCAACTGCAAAACATTAAATTGTGGTAAAATTCAGGGGGGTATGCCCCCCTGAAACCCCCCAACTTATTTTCATTAAGTCCTTGCCCCCCCTGAAACCCCTATATTCTTGGGGCCAAAACCCGTGAATAACAATTGCGGGGTGGGAACTACAGAAAAAGCGCCTTAATATGCGCACTAGCCATTTTAGAACAACAGTGGGTGGGTCGGGCTTCCCCCCTGAAAACAATAATACTTTTTTTTAAAACCCATGTAAATGCCATACAATAACATAAGAGTGGACCATTGCACAGCCTGCCTCAAAAGCATTCAGTGTTGGGTCCATCAAAGTTCAATCTTACCATCACTCAATTGGAATTGGGTATATAAATTTAAAAGGCCGCGGCTATTCGGACTCTCAAGTCTGAATTCGAGTCCCAATAGCCTTCCGTGGCTATTCGGACTCAAACTTCAATGTGCGTGCGCAATCACTAGGTGTACCGGGTGTGAAGCAGACAAGCAATTCGACCTTGACCTTCCTCGGTTTCTATGATCTGAAAAGAACTTATAACAACAAATGGGCACCGACCGTGGTGACCCAGTGCGAACTGTGGTCTTTTCTTTACAAAGGATAAAGGGCCGGGCAGTGGGCAACGGTATGGGAGGGAATATAGATCTATATGCAAAAAAAAAGAGGGAAGGTGGTGGGGCAGGCCTGGGGAAGTAAGATGGAGAAAGAAAAAGTAAGAGAAAGTTAGAGAGAGGAAAGGTAAGAGAGATAGAGAGAGAAAGAGGGGGGGGGGCTGTCTTAAAAGGACTGATTATGGATTTTATGTTTTGATCCCTTTGCAGTCGTGAAACGCAGTGTAATAGCCTAGTTTAAAGTCAGAATAGCAATGGGAGACTATTCGGACTCGAGTATAGACCTCGCTTACGGTACAACTGGTGACTGCGCACACGCACTGGAATTTCAAGAGTCTGAATAGCCTCCAGCGGCTGTTCGGACTCGAGTTCGAATAGCCACTTCAAACAAATTAAATATAATTTACGGGAGGAGTTTCGCAAAGGGTTGGCACTTACCGTGACAAGGTCCACTGAGCAAACTATACTAGGGTTAGGGGTTAGATATATCCCGCTCAAAATATCCCCTCTTTTGTGTGTTGTTGGTCTGCTGGCCCTTTGCAGAACTCCTTCCTAATTTACAGTAAGTAGTCTCCGCCGAAATGCACAATGCCCCGGGGGGTGGGGGGGTTGGTTCCTTAGCGTGTGTTTATATGGAGGGTGCTTTTATGTGTACCTGTGCAAAGGGATGAATGGATGCAGTTGCAGTCGTCTTATTTCGTTGATATTTTAGTAATTTCCCTTGGGGGGGTGGCCGGGTCACTTTGGCCAATAATGTGATGACATGTACTGTTTTGTGAAGGATTCCTCTACTGCGGTTATGAAAACAAAGGCGTTGACTGGGTTTGGGGGGGGGGGGGGGGTCAAAGAGACGGACTCACTGTACTGATACAAATACTCACTATAAAATCTCGGGAACAGATAGGAGGAAACTGTTGGTGATGATAGTTATAGGGATGAGCGCTCAGCCAAGCAGCTTTCCAAGTGACCACGACTGACTGCATGTTCATCTGCGAGAAATTCATGGATGAGATCAGAATCGGACATCCCAACAGACATTTTTCTTGTGATTCGTTGAACAAGTACATTACAAGTTCTTCAAACAGAGCTGATTACTTGACCAATCTTTAAGCCTTAAGGCTTCTCTACTGTTCTACAGTATTCCCGCAAGTTGCGCAAGGCATTTACTCAGCATTACATGAAATCCCTCAAACACCAGTCAGAAACCTTCTCTCAAAGAGATGCGTTTTGAGTGATCAATAAAAAATCATTATTTTTGTCCTCTCCACCCCCCCGACGGCCAGTTTATTGATCTCAACTTTTTATGGTTGAGCGGCTGTGTCCGCCCGGGTTTTTGTTCCGCAAATTATGATCTGAAATGCAGGACCTTACCTGAATGTAGACCTTCAGAGTGAATCAGAGCAGGATCTTAGGGGTGATTTTTGTTTAGTAAAAATTCTGTTTTCTTAAAACAGTGGGATTTTAGGCGAACCGGGATCGTAAGCGGTGGGATCAGGGTTGGTGATTTTTTATATTTTTTTCATAAAAATAAAAAAAATCGATTTTTTAAATTTAAATCATGATTTTTTAAATTTAAATCAGATTTTTTGATTTTTTTGATTTTTTTAAAAATGTCGACACAGTTTGGGATTTTTGGT